GTTTACTCCAGAACTTTTGTGCCTTGTCTTCAATGTAGCATTTATGTCTAATTTTTTTGGGGGTGAGGCTTTATTTTATTTTTCAAGGGGACTTATAGTACAGGAAGATCACTCTGGAGTGACCTTGGCCTCTATGCCCTCTTGTTGGACCTCCAGAGGAACTGGTTGGCCACTGTGTGAAACAGGATGCTGGGCTAGACAGACCATTGGTCTGATCTAGAAAGGCTCTTCATTCTTAAAGTGGATCCCTTTAATTCTTTGGTTAGGCTGGGAGAGCTGTTGCTCTTCTCGTCACTGTTAATAGGGCCTGTTCCAAAACTGAGACTCCAGGCAACGTTAAACAGATGTTTAAAAATGTATTGTTCTAAAATGAGGGAAAATATTTCATTGTGGCACAGCTACGAAGTACCTTTTGTAAGGTCATTGCTCTCTGATATGTTGTAGTTAGCTGTGGACCACAAACATCTCAGTTTGCTCTCTTTATAGTGCCCTTTTGCAAGGGTCATTTCGTAGAAAAAGAGGTGCAGGAGCTCATTCGCGTAGCTTATTAGCATAACTCATTTGCATATGCCACACCCCCGGACATCACCGGAAGTGTGTCATAAGGCAACACCCAGCGCTCAATCTTTTGGATTGCTAGCTATTGGGGGGGGGGCGGAAACGTGCAGATCTGTCCTCACAGAGGAGGGAGAGCTTGTACCTGAATAAAACTTGGTCTTAAAGGTGCCACTGGACTGTTTTGGACCGGGGGGAGCTCTGCAACTTACCTGGCTGCTTCTTGCTCTGACTGAGGGCTGCTGGGAGCAGGGGGTGGGGCTTGTTGCATGTGCCCGTCCCCTGGGTTCTTTACTGCCGGAGCTCCGCTCCTGTGCGCTCCTGCAGGAAATGACCCCTGCCCTTTTGTAAGGTCATTGCTCTCTGATATGTTGTAGTTAGCCGGCGCAAGCATCTCAGCTTGCTCTCTTTATAGTGCAGTGCACACGATCTATAGAGTTATCGATTGCATGTTTATCCTGCCATTCCTCAGGGTTGGCATCGGGGTGCCTGTGGTTCTTTCTTCCATTTCATCCTCTCACTAAGCGTGTGTTGGGGGGGGGGGAGAAGGAGAGAGAGACTGCCTGTCATCATTGTACATATTTTGGTAGGAGGTTCATCACTGTCTGTTTCTGAAAAGTAGAAAATAATACTGGGGGAGTCTGGAAAGAATCTGCATATTTTTAAGCTTCTCGGGGTAATGATTTCAAAGTGCTGGGGTCGGGGAGGGGGGAGGTTTAAGGGTGGAAATATCTGCCCCCTGTGTGTGTACGGGGGGGGGGTAAGGCAACTGAATAGAAACCTTCACCCATCTGTCGCTTTTAATTTATTCCTTTTGCTTCCTCCCCTCTACTGTGCTCAGTTCTAAAGAAAGAAGTTCATTCTCCTGACAAGGTTTCAGTCAACAGTGGGCCAGAAAATCCAGAAGCAGAAGTGGGGAAAGCGAAGGATGAGTTATCGTCCAAGGATTCTAAAGGTACGTGAATCATTCTAATATGTGTTGCCCAGGGCTTTTTTTGTAGAAAAAGCCCAGCAGGAACTCATTAGCATAATAGGCCATACCCAACAGCAGGAACTCATTAGCATATTAGGCCACACCCCCAACAGCACAGCTCATTCGCATATTAGGCCACACCCCCATGTTACCAGAAGTGTGGTCATCCAGCCACACCCACCTTTTGCTTCTTATTCTCTTTAAGGGGGGCGGGGCACATGATGAAGCCCCGCCCCCTGTTTCCGGCCGCCCCGCTTCCAGCCCTCATTCAGCCAGGAGGAGGCAGTAAGTTGCTTCCTCCCCGCCTCTCCCCACCCCCGCCTGCCTGGGGCCAGGGGGGGCCTTGGCAGGGCTTCCTTGCACTCCCGCTGGCCTTGCAGGTCCACCGCCGGACCCCTTATGTCAGGGGGATGTGGCATATGCTAATGAGTTATGCTAATGAGTTCCCCTAGCTCTTTTTCTACGAAATGACCCCTGCATATTTTTATCCCACCCCTCTTTCAGGGAGCTTAGAGTGGCGTACACAGTTCTTTCTTTTCCAATTGATCATCACAACCACGTAGGATAGGATGCCAGAGAGCGAGTGGCTGAAAGTCACTCAACATGCTTCATGGCAGAGTGGGGATTTGAACGTGGGTGTCCGAGACCCTAGTCTGACATTGTACCAATATGCCATGCTGGCTCCCCAAGTGCCGAAGAGTTGGGTTATGGTTCCTTTCTGCTAGTCTAGGTCATGCCGGGTCTTACACGCCAGCCCCCCAAAACCAGCCCAATAAGGTAATGTTACAATTGTGCAAATGGAAATGGAAAAGGAAGCCAGTTTCCGAACGACGTTAGTCACCTGCGTAGGGAGGACTGTCTTGTTTCGGCAAGGCCTGTCCTTTGTGAGACGTTGCATTCTTCGTCAGATGTGCAGTCTGATCCTTTAACTATTACATCACACCGACTGCTATGCAAATATTATCAATTCTGCAGAATAAGCAGTGTTGCTACAATATTGCTACGACTTTATGACAGTGATACGGTTTCTAAGAAGTGATAAGATTTCTAACGCAACTGGACAAAAAACTGCATCATCGTAATGATAAAACTTGCCTTTTTTCCTCATGAATCACAACAAATGTTAGAATCGAGAATGGTGAGTCCTGGACTTTATTCAGTCTTTAGAGCTGGTGAATCATCTGGCAGCAGCTGTTGTGGTGCCCTCTTGAGGCTGTAGAATCCAAATTCCAGCCTCGTAGTCAGAAAATCCAAGGGGGAAATATCTAGGGTTTTTTCTTTCCTTGATAAGATTATTTTTCCATTCCCAAATAATACTATTGTGTGAACATCAGTCTTCATATTTCACAGAATAAAGCCTCCTCGAATCGGTCCTAACCTGAATGTTACTTTTAATTGTTTGTTTGAATCAGGCTTTTAAAAATGTGCTGCTACTGTTTTTAAAATGTGGAGAAACTTTCACTCCAAAAATGGATGGTTAGATTCTATTGACAAAGGAGAAGGTCTGAGCCTAGGATTGCCAACTGGCCTGGAGAAAAATGTCCTGACCCTTTCTCAGAGGCTGAATGTCTGGGAATGAAGCTTTTCGTGGCAAAGAAGTAAATATCTACAATGTTCATTCGCCGCCTTTCTTCCTTATGGAGCTCAAGGCGCCTTACAACATAGAAAAAAGACATAAACATAAAATATTAGACATCACCTGGTAAATAATACCCCATTAAACATCTTTCTCCAGGCCTGTTAGCAATGCTGTTTGAGTCCTGGAGTAGGAGGTATTTAACCATCTGATGTATGGTCAGTAGACTAGTAACCTGCCAAATACCAATCACAATTTTGTCCTTTCCTTTTTCCTCAGAATGACCCATGCGGTTCTCCCCTCCTCCGTTTTATCCTTACTAGAACCCTGTGAGGCATATTAGGCTGAGGGGGAGAGAGAAGCCCAGAGTCACTCAGTGATTTCATGGGTGAATGGGGGTTTAACCTCCAACACTTATTATGGTAAATAACACTTATTGTGGTAATTATTCTCACATGCTCATCTCCTTCCCCCTGCTCTGTTAAGGTGGCTACCGGTGAACAGGAGATGGCACCAGAAACTGCCATCCTAGGGTGGTGGGTTATGCTGTAGAGCAGGGGTGTCGAACTCATTTGTTATGAGGGCCGGATCTGACATAAATGAGACCTTGTCGGGCCGGGCCATGTGTGTCATAAAACGTAATGCCAGGTGGCGGAGATATAAACTTTTATAAAGGACACAAACACAAAGGGTTGTTTTTTTTTACTTAAAATAAAAACATGCTTAAAACATTAGCACTCTTGCAATATTTTGTTTATTTAACGGTGTCTGATAATTGACACCCCTTGCTCTGAATTATTGCATCAAAATCTCTGTGCTGTTGCAATCTTGAGTATGCTGTTTATTTATTATTTATTTATTTCACTTTTACCCTGCCCTCCCCGCCGAAGCAGGCTCAGGGCGGCTCACATAAAACCAATAAAACATTATACATTTCGATATAAAATCCATAATAAACAATTTAAAACAGTTGTTATAACGATGGCGGTGCGATATACTAAAGTGCATTTCAGAACATATTTGGCGGTGCTACCACTCTAGGCAACTTCTAGCTCTAGGTTGACACAGAGCATGGCTGATGAGGTGTGGCTCCTATCGGAAAGCCTGCCGGAAAAGCTCCGTTGTCACGGCCCTGCTGTTCAGGTGTGTATCTGTAAGCTGCAAACCTACGATGACGCAGCAGCAACAGAACAGGAAGGAGAAGCAGAAGACAGCCAGTTCCACTGTGGGCCTGATAGAAGCCCTCCAGGGGCCTGATCCAGCCCCTGGGCTGCATGTTTGACACCCCTGCTGTAGAGGCTGAGGCCAGCAAACACTAGTGGTTGGCTGCTGAGGTAGACTGGCTGGTGGGCAGCTGAGTCTTGCTCACACAAAAAGATCACAAGGATCTTCACAGTCTGACCGAAGAGAAGTTGTGTGTATGTAAGAAGATATTTTTCAACAATATGCTCATTTTAAAAGGCATCCTGTTGAGCAGAGCTTCTGCCTGACGTGTTAAAGAGTTACTACTGGAATTAGGCATGACTTCGTTCCCTGAGATTTTGCGGTCGGCTCTGCTTCTAGTGGCAGCCATTTTGTGGCTGTGCCCATTATCCAGTGTCAGAATTCCAAAGGTGCTCCAAAAGGTTGGGACACCCAGGCCTAGGCCCTGAGGTTTCCTCTCATTCCAAACTCATTTTTTACTTCCGCTACACCACTGATGTTCCGTATCTCCTTGGCTGAACTTTCCCCCTCATCCTTTAGCACATTCAAAATATTCTCTGTAACTTCACAGCACCCAGTTAATGGAGCAGGTACATTAGCCCCTGTGGCTTGTTCAGATGATATTCTCATGTCTTTACTAATTTACTAATAATCCTCTTCCTTAATTTTCTGTTTCCCCCCCCCCTTTTCCAGACAGAGAATTAGAAAATGTATCTGGTTGGCAAGAACCTGGTCAGAAAGCGATGGAGACAGAAATTTTTGACGGTGAGGACTGTGATGGTAGAAAGGGGGAAATGGTGCCTTTCCTTGCTGGGAAACTCCCTTAGACCAAGGATTCTCTTAAAGGTACTCTGAAAATCAGCTGCCACCACTTTGGATCGCCTCAGAACATCTAGACTGACCCGCTAAGAAGGCAGTCTTCCAGCACAGTACTAGAGCAATAAAATATCTTATAACCAACTCAGTAGCACCCATGCAGTCTAGCACATGGGGAAGAGATTAAGATAAATATCCCAGAGATATAGAGTGTACTGAGTGAAGTCACCAAAAAAAACGTCTTTATAAAAGGTTTATTGTAAAAGAGAGAAAAAAAAGGGAAAGGGTAGCTGGATTCAGAAAGGGGTGGAAAAGAGGCAAAACAAAATACAGGGTAAAGCAGACTGTAACAACAACAACACAGAGATGTTCAGATCAAAAGCCATACAGCTGAACTAAGCTGAACACAGGTTACCTATGCTGTAACAGGTTCCTCAGAGCATGTGTAGTTTCTTGTGATAACACAAGGTTGAAGGGGCTGTTAACTCCTATCCAGCCTCCCGTGGTCCCAGTTTCAGTTGAAGATTGAAAACTGAAGACAAGGGAAAATCCCCAAAGTCTAGATTATTTGTGGTAAATGGAACTGGACCTCGGCCAGCCTCCTTTCTAAGAATGACTAGCAGATTCCTTCAGTCCCATGCAAATCCCCATCTCTGATGTCAGAGATTACGGCTACCAATTTGAGCCATATAAAATACTAGGGAGCAAAGCCCGTTGTGGACAGAGACAACAGGCCCCTAGACCCCTAGAAAGAGAGAGAGAGACGAAGGAAGGAGAAAGAGAGAGAGAGAGAGAGAGAGAGAGAGAGAGAGAGAGAGAGTGGGGGGGGAGAGACAAAGGAAGGAAGGAGGGGAGGGAAATCGGGCCGCAGCGTGGGGCGCATTGCCACCGTGCACTCAGACGCAGCGCTCGGCTCCCGCCTCCCAGCCAATGGCAGGGCAGCAGCCTTGAGCTGCAGCTGGGCAACACGGCCAATGGAAGCTGGGGAAGCTTCTCACGGACAGCTCAAGCGTCCAAACACTGTCGGTGTGCATTTTCTCCCCACTGCGTGAGTCTGCGTCTTACTCAATTATATATAAGGGAAGGATAGTCCCACCTCTGTCAAGCACCTGGTAGTGGCTCTGAACTTCCATGACAAATGGATTATCTGGTCCAAACCGGACTGTCCTTTGTCAAAAAAGGGATTAAGTCTGCCAGAAGGATCCAGTGTAGAATGGAAGGGAATGGGTTATTCTAATCTAATGGATCTCTAGGGATCCAAGATCCCAGACACTCTAGGTGGCACTTTTGAGCCTTAGCAAGTTTTAGGATTTTTGTCACAAGGATTCCTTCCTCCAGGATTCTCTGGGAAATTTCTGAAGAAAGTTATTCCTTGGATGCAAAGGTGCTTTGGAGTAAGCCACTTCCATATGAACAAAGAAAGCGGTGCTAGGTATCAGTTCTGGAGTGCGTACATCACTTCTGTACAATCTGTATACTCTGTATTTAGAAAAATACTCCCAGTTCTACAGAAGGATGTTCAGTGACATTGTATGTGAGCATTAATATTATCTCTAAAATCCCTACAGTAGATAGCCATCGTATGGAGAGCTAATTAGATGGTGCAATCCCCTTTTCTTCCTGCATACAATCTAAAGATGGAACTAGGTGGTCCTATCCCATGTTTCCTTCACCAGCAAGGGCCGGAGGCACTTAGAAGGCCTGAGTAAAACAGCTGCCAACATTCACAGTTAAGAACATAAGAACATAAGAGATGCCAATGTTGGATCAGGCCAAAGGCCCATCCAGTCCAACACTCTGTATCACACAGTGGCCAGAAATACCAGTGCCATCAGGAGGTCCACCAGTGAGGCCAGGACATTAGAAGCCATCCCACTGTTGACCCCCCCCAAGCACCAAGATGACAGAGCATCACTTGCCCCAGAGTCCCTATCTATACCTTGTGGCTAATAGCCACTGATGGACCTCTGCTCCATATGCTTATCTAATTCCCTTTTGAAGCCGTCCATGCTTGTAGCACCCACCACTTCCTGTGGCAGTGAATTCCAAGTGTTAATCACTCTTTGGGTGAAGAAGTACTTCCTTTTATCTGTTCTAACAGTTACTTTGCTGTGAGAAGCCAGAGTAGAATGACGGTCACATCTTCTCACACGCAACCTTTCTAATGTGGTGAAAATGTAATTAAGTTGGAGACCAGAGAGGCTGAAAGGAAAGGAATGCTTGGGAGAAGGAGGGAGGAAAGCAAATTTCTCTTCAGAAAAAAGAGGTGCCACTGTAGTAAAGGCCATGCTCCGCACTATCAAAATTATATCATCTTGCAACTAGGGCCTACCACGCAGGCCTCTGACTCCAACTGGCAAACAGGTTGACATGGGGAAAGGCAGTTTCTCTTGGATTACATAACTGCCTGACACACATCTGGAAATGCTTCTCACTCATCCCCTCTTGCTCAGCCTTCCCCCCTCCCCTAAGGCAAATTCTCCTCTCACTTCCAAACTTTTAATACCTTATGAGTAGTAACTCCCCTCCTTTTCCACAGAAGGAGTTAAGAGCTTTCTGATGAAGTTGGGTCTCCACAAGCGATGCAGGAAACTCACCATGGGAGAAATCTTGGAAATCAGCTCAGAAAGCCTCACAACTGTGGCTCCTCGGACACTGGAAGATTTACCTCGGCACTTCTTGAGAAGACTGATGGCTCTCAGTGGGACAGCCAGAAATACAGGCCTCGTACACCAGAATGAGGAAGAGTCAAATGAGGAGGTTGATATGGATGATGAGGGGTTCTTTCTGGGGGGAATGGACTCCGAAGTTTCTGTAAACCCCCTCGATGTTGTGCTGTTCTGTTTTCTTCAGATCATTTCCTCCAGCAGCAGATACTCCTCAAAATGTCCATGTGCCAGTTTGCCCTCCCTTTGATCTTGCCACCTCCCAAGCGCACCTTTATGCTCTGGGCTCTAAGGGACATTGTGAGGAAATGGAGGCCTCACTGCCTGGTGGAGCAGAGAGGCTTTAGAGAGGAGAGCCTGGTGCGAACATCCATGCCAACCATTTCTTTTGTGCGGATGGGCAGATCTGGCCTCTCCAAATCCAGGCTTCTCAATGAGGTCTTCAGCTCCCCTCAGCAGCATCATGACTTCTTTATACACAGGGATATGGAGTGCGGGAGTGCCCCACGAGAGATCAGCGATGGGGTGGTAGAAATCTCCTGGTATTTTCCTGGGGGGAGGGAGAATTCAGATCTTTTCCCAGAGCCTGTGGCCGTTACAAATCTCCGTGGGGACATTGAGTCACACTGGCTGGAATTCAGCTTTTTAACAGAGGTCTCATCAGCAGTGTTCATCGTTACGGAGGACATGTCTGACAAGCAATATGACCTGCTAGCCACTCTCCAAAGCTCGTCGTCTAAGTACTATTTTATCTTGAATGCGGATGGTGAGAAATCAAAGGAAACCCGTAGGTTCCTGTGCAAACTCGCTCCACTGCTGAGCATGACCAAATCACAAATACTGGTGAAAGAAAAGAATAAAAACACCGCAGAATTTGTGAAGAAATTTCGGTCAACCATAAAGAACATTGTTCACGCTCCTCAAAAGGTGATCAGTATTGAAGAAATGGCAAAGGTCAGCCAAGAATTGGGAATCCAGACTGATGAAGACACAAAGGTCTGTCAGAATGGCACTTTGCACGCCAATGAGATTATTGAAGAAATAGAAGATGTTGTGGGCTACAAGAAGGAGATGCTGAAACTTCAGGGGGACTTGTGGCGAAACCTGGCCAAAGTGGAGAAAGAATTGTGCCGGATGAAAAGGCAAGCTGATACTCCAGTTGAAGATTACAAGGCCCAGCTGAGAAAAAAACTGATAGGCTTACGTTCACAGCAGAATCAATGTGACCTCACTAACGGAATAACAAAATTTATTAACGGGATACAACAGCTTCACCCAGTGGAGAAATGTTATTTCCTGAAATGGTTAAAATTCAACCTGGATAACACTGCTAGGGCAAACTTGTCAAAATTAAGAGAGGAGTATAAAGAACTTTATCACACTGCTGGAAGCGATCCACAACAGCTGGCACAGCTGGATGACTTAATTTCCACCAGTTCCTTAGGCGTGGAACACTTCATGCGTGAGCTGGGGCAGTTTTATGAAGCAGAGTACATGATGGTGAAGGAAGGTAAGATAACGGAGAATGGTAGGCAATTTGTACATTTACCAGGCATAGCTGCTGACCTGATGCTGGAAGGGTTTCCAATGGAGCTGATTGATGGAGATGCCTCTAACATCCCTATGCAATGGATAACTGATGTTTTGACTGCACTTCATGCCAAAGTAGGGGGCAAGTCCAGGATGAAGGTTCTAACAGTTCTGGGTGTCCAAAGCACCGGCAAATCCACTCTTCTCAATACTATGTTTGGGCTACAGTTTGCAGTTAGCAGTGGCCGATGTACCCGAGGGGCATTCATGACACTTCTAAGAGTCTCAGAGAACTTCCAGAAAGAGCTCAGTTGCAATTTCATCTTGGTGATAGACACAGAAGGATTGAAAGCCCCTGAGCTGGCCAAACTGGAGGACAGCTATGAACATGACAATGAGTTGGCCACCCTGGTGATTGGACTGAGTGACATAACTCTTGTGAACCTGGCCATGGAGAACGCCACCGAGATGAAGGACATCCTGCAGATTGTAGTCCATGCCTTTCTGCGGATGGAGGAAACGGGGCACAAACCCAACTGCCAGTTTGTCCACCAGAACGTCAGTGATGTTTCTGCCCATGATCAAAACATGAGGGACAGGAAACGCCTCTTGGAGCAGTTCAATGAAATGACCAGAGTGGCAGCGAGAATGGAGAAGCAATTCAGGGAAGTTTCCTTTTCAGATATTATGGACTACAATCCAGAAAAACACAACTGGTACATCCCTGGTTTGTGGCACGGTGTCCCGCCCATGGCTCCAGTAAACATGGGATACAGCGAGGGTGTGTCAGATTTGAAAAGGTCCCTGTTTGAATTTATGAGGACCTGCTCCCGAAACAGACATTCCAAAGACATCCCCCAGTTTGTTGAATGGGTGAGAAGCCTGTGGAACGCTGTAAAACATGAAAATTTTATCTTCAGTTTCCGCAACAGCCTTGTAGCTGATGCTTACAACCAACTCTCAGCAAAGTATTCAGAATGGGAATGGGATTTCCAGAAGGAGATGCATCTGTGGGTGTCCAAGGCTGATACCGCAATTCAGAATCAATCCCTAGAAGTTATAGAGTCTGGTGCGTTAGATAAATTGAGGCTTGAAGCGGATCAGAAATTGCGCGATGGCCAGCAAAAGATATTACAGTGCATACAGAGCTATTTTGAGAGCGACAGAGAGAGCCTGCATCTCATAGAAAAGTACAGGGAAGATTTTATCAGAAGTGCAAAAGGTCTCCGGGATCAGCTGGAAAGCTACTGCATGAACAAATGTCAGCAGGCCATCCTCATACGCAAGGGGAAAAGTAAGATAGACAGTCTTCAGGCTAAGTACGTGAAAACCATGGAAGGGAAGGTCAGCAGACTCCTGGAAGAGTGTAAAAGGAAGAAGTGCAAGCTGAATGTTTCGGAATTGAAGGGGGAATTTGAGAAAATGTGGGAGGAAAGCGTACTGGAGTTGCCAGCTAGTAACTTAACTCGGCGTAATATTTATGCAGATTTCCACCTTCAGCTCCAAAAAGATCTTGAAGTACGTGGCGGCTTGGCCAACCAACTCTTCCAGAAGTTACCCTGCTTTACTGCCCGTTCCAGGCGTCCTTTCATTGTGAAAGATTATCATCTAAAAAAATCAGTCATGAGAACCTTAACCCAAGGTCTATTATTCAAGGATTATATACAAGAACTAGAGGAATACACCAGATCCTTGATTTGCATATGTGAGAGCTACGTCACAGAGAAAGTCAGCACAAAAGGAGACTACGATGAAACATATTGCCGTGAGTTGCTGAGACTGATCAACGAACAGCTTCGAGGAAAACATTTTCAAAAGCTTCACACTACTATTTATTTCCATGTGGATCTGAAATATTTCATTCTGGGAGACGCGGCTAACGCTTTCCAGGAGATGCATATCAAATTCTTCGAGGCGAACAACCCTCACCGATGTCTAGAAAAACTCAAACTGCAGTATTTTTCCACCTTCAACGACCTTTACTATGAGAAGGATGCTTGCCAGAAGAGAGCCAAGGATTTCTGTGATCTGTGTCTAAAACCAGCTCTCGTGGACCACCTCCACAAGAGACTTGGGCTAGAAATAGTAGATGATCTCCTAAGCAGTGGGCAATCCCTCCAGTATGGAAGTAGGAGCTTCTTTCAATTCACAGTGCAGAAGACATTGCTAGAAGAGGAAAAATTTGAGGACTACGTCAAGTATATAATCAGATATGAGAAGTTTGTGAAATCTTGGATAGAGGCACACCTGTTAGACCATTACAGAGAGAGAGACGAGTTAGCAGTCTTGGAGCGAGCGATCCTGTCTGCTGTAATGAGGAAAGCAAAAGAGGTTCTGGAGAGGTATGAGAAAGAAACTGGGACTTTGGCTGAATTCCTGAAGCATTTTTACCAGGATATGAGTGAAGAGCTTGTCATTTCGAAAGACAGTCTGGATGTCATCCTCTTCAACAACACTGCCAGCGCTGGATCCTTCTCGGCCGAGGTACAGACCTGCATCCCCACGGTGATAGAGGACATCCTTTCAGATAATTTTAAGATGAGTGTCGAAGCGATACTTTCAAACCTTCCGTTCAAGCCCCAGGACGAAATCTTCAAGCGTGTGTTTGGCTGTGGGAAGCAGTGCCCTTTCTGTAAAGTCCCCTGCGAAGCTGGAGGCGTCAGCCACCAAGAACACTTCGCATCAGTCCATCGCCCTAAAGGGTTAGGGCGGTGTCGTGAACACAGTACAGGAAAACTTAGTTATGCCTTATGTTCCTCTAGAGTTGGTTCGAACGGGCAGTTTAGCAATACGGACACGGCTGGGGAATGGCATCCTTATAAACAGTATCGCCAGTACTATCCTGACTGGCGCATCCAGCCCGATGCTAGCATCATAGCCTCCGATTACTGGAAGTTTGTATTCAAAAAATTCAATCAACAGTTTGCTGAGGAGTACCATGCCCTCCCTGCGGATCTCCCCGAGGACTGGGAAAGATTAACCAAACAGCAGGCCTTGGAAAGCATCCAGGAAGCCTTTAATATGAAAGAACCAAAGTCACCCTTTCCCGCTTGACTCCAAAGTGCCTGGAAATACTGTCTGTCGTTAACATAAATGACTCTTTATCTCTAAGCTGCAATGTTATTGGCATAGTATAGTGTGATCTATATAGCTCTGGGCTGACACTGATTTTTATTGCTGTGTTTATGGGGGACTGAAAGTGAAAACTAGCCCAGTAAAACCAGACTGGAAAGTTAGTCCTAATCTGTTTCTGTGACCGAAAGGGTTTTATAGATATAATAATGTATAGGAGACACAGTGCCTCAATGGAAAGCAAATTATACAAAATGCAGTACGTTCTGACCTCCACTTTGCCAGACACACAACTTATTTGGGGGAAAATCCAGGTGAGAGTTAGTGATCTTCTAGTATTGCCTCCAACCTGCTGTGTCTTAGATAATCACTATGAAGATTACACTGTAAATCAGGGTTCCCCAGCATGGTTCCTATGGACAACCAGGTGCCCTCCAAGTGTTCCTGGAAAGGGGGGCAAAATGAGGCTTTTCAAGTTTTTGATGTTTATGGTATAACACAGACAGTAGCTTTAAATAACATACTTTATGTAAATAATCTTTCCCCCCCTTTTGCATAAATTCATTAGATATCTGTAAAATGAAGACAGATACTGCCAAATGAAGGTTTCTTAGCTAAATAAGTATACTTATTTTGTGTGTATGCAAGGATTTTTAAACAACATGTTGATTTTAAAAGGTATCCTGTTAAACAGAGCTTCTTCCTGAAATGCTGAAGACCTGCTATCAAAGTTATGGATAATTTTGTGGCTGGCTCTGCCTCCTGTGGCAGCCATTTTGTGTCAGAATTCCAAAAGTGCCAGAGGCTGAGAAAAGTCTGTGAGACGCAATGGTCCTTTTTTTGTTGTTCAGTCGCACAGTCGAGTCCGACTCTTTGTGACCCCATGGACCAGATCACCCCAGGCCTTCCTGTCTTCCGCCGTCCTCTGAAGTTGGCTCAATTTCATGTTCGTTGCATCTATGACACTGTCTAACCATCTCATCCTTTGCCATCCCCGTCTTCTTTGACCTTCAATCTTTCCCAGCATCAGGGTCTTCTCCAGTGAGTGCTTCCTTCTCATTTGGTGGCCAAAGTATTTGAGCTTCAGTTTCATTATAAAAGAAGCCTAGGGAATGAGATTTCATTTGGGCCATGTGTACCTGATGTTCCTAACCCACCACAGCTATGGCTGTTGGAAAAAGTTGTCAGAGTCTCATATCTGAAATAAGCTGGAAATGCATTGGTTAATTCACAGAACAAGAATAATCAGTTTATTCAGAAGGTGAATCGTTAATATTATTTACTGCCATTCTATTAATAGTTAACGTACATGAGAAATTCCTTGCCCCTGTAATAATGGTCATTGATGTCCTCTGTTCCCCAAAACTCATTTGCCTAGAATCAACTCTACATACAGATGTCCCTAAATCCACACACATTCTTTGAAATAGTTATGCTGATAAATAAGTAGGGGCACTGCGTTACTCTTCTTCCTGTGGCTGTGGGCCTTTTTCAAATGTTTGCATCTGATCAATAAATAAACTTCTTGAATTTGTGCAGACTGGTCTTCTGGTGATATTCCACCCAGGTATTTATTAGTTTACGTTTAGTGGCTGCAGTCACATGGCGCCGGCCCATGTGACCGGGGCCATAGTTTGCCTTTCTCACTTCGACTCAAGGCAGATTACACGGGGCAAGTCAATACAATCTACAGGAGGGGACATCCAGTACACCATGTCATAGGATTAGGATGGCAGAACCAACCAGCAGTCCAAAGACAGAACTGAGGCAAAGCAGACGTATTAACATGACACACAACACATTAAATGATTACAGCACCTGGGCCCTATACACCCCTCCATCTGTAGGAACAATAAATGGCTATTTTGGTCTACCATCTGGAATGCTACTATTCATATCTCTCAATCACAGATAATTCAAGCGGTGGCCTGCAAGGTTTTACCCTGTTGGTATCTAACCCCTGTGAGGGTAGCGCATATGACATCAAAATCCTCCCCTCTTTGTCGGAAACACTGTGGGGAGTTGGGTACATTCTATCATAGTTGGTGGAACTGTGTATACATATCTAATTATTGGAAACAAATATTACTGGCAATTCATAATATAACTCACTATTCTTTGCCTTATGATCCTTTCATAATTTTATTGAATTTATGGTTAACTGACCAATTGCCGAAGGCTCGTAAAGATTTAGTTTTGATTCTACTTACAGCAGCTAAGTCTGTTATTGCTCAGAGGTGGAAGGTTAGTTTTTCACCGATGGTGTCTCAGTGGTACTTGAAGGTTTGAGATTATTTTACTCTAGAAAAATTTTCTGTATACACTGAAAGGTCAAACCTTTTACTTGATCTTTACAGCCCTCTAGATAAATGGTTTCCGTTCATAGAAAAAATGGATATGGAACAGTTGATTTCTGAAAAATTGTCCTTATTTAAGCAAGAAATTATTTTGCAATGAAACTATCTGGTTGTACTGTTCTAGTTCTTGGTTCAGCATAAGGGCAGTTAATGGTGTCTTTGTGTATTTTTGGTGTGTCACTTGTTAATTTTGAGATTTTCCTCCTTTTGTGTACTTGTAATTGCATTTGCGTTTAAAATTTCAATAAAATTGTTAAAATAAAAATGACTATTTCACAGGACTAGTGTGAATAGGGACAAAACAAGAAAATGTAATTCAACCTCCACATACAAAAACACTGCACAGATTAACAACCAAATTTAGTATTTACTTTTTCAGAGGGAGGGGATGGGGCTTATGTGTGCCCAGGGGTCGTTTCGTAGAAAAAGAGCTAGGGTAACTCATTAGCATAACTCATTAGCATATGCCACACCCCCTGACATCACTAGAAGTGTGTCATAAGGCCACACCCCCTGCCATCACCGGAAGTGTGTCATAAGGCCACACACCCCGCCTGGAGATGGACCTGCAAGGCCAGGGAGTGCAAGGAAGCCCCGGGAAGGCCCTCCCTGGCCCCAGGCAGGCAGGGGTGGGGAGAGGCAGGGAGGAAGCAACTTACCCTCCCTCTTCTCCTGCCTCCTCCTGGCTGAATGAGGGCCGGAAGCGGGGCGGCCAGAAGCAGGGGGCGGGGCTTCGTCATGTGCCTCGCTCCCCCCTACCTCACCCGGGGGAACTGCGATCCCCCGCGATCCCCCCCCCAAATGACCTCTGTGTGTGCCTGAAAGTCACCCTGCCTACCGCCCCATTCTCCTTGACTAGAGAGGGCTGGTGGTGTTTGTGTAAGGGTGACACAAAGGCTCTCTGCACATGCTTTACAGGTCTGCATTCTTACAGCATATCTTCCAGAACTAGTTTTAAGAGACCAGAATTTTTGCTGCAAGATCTCAAGGTATATAGGATGGGGTGGCTGGATCACTGCAGAGCAGCTACAGTCTAAATTCTCATAAATAGTAAAACAATGTAACCTGACCTTGGATGCAAAAAGTCCCTACATTAAAAGTCCCTTCTAAAGGAGAAAGCAAAAGCGAAAGGGGAAAAATACGTTAAACCCCCCGACCCGTGTATTAAAGGCAAGAGATTAATGTGAACTAGATAACCTTGGACCTGGTTGTCTACGGCTACGCCAGTTTTCCTGAAAGTCCCTCCGTCCTATTTTAAAACTTCCAGACTAGAACTTTTCCATCATGCCCCGGAAGTATGCTTATCTCTTCCTCCAGCCTCCCCCCAATACGGAGGGGTGTCAACATCTA